TTCTATTGTTTTACATAATAGTAGGGAACAATTATCTTAATTTTAATCTCAAGCTCAATTTAAATTTAAATCTCAATCTTAATCTTAATATTAAGCTCAATGTAAATCTTAATCTTAATTTTAATCTCAACCTCATTCTAAATCTATCTCAGTCACAGCCTCAATTTTAATCTTAATCTTAATTTTAATGCCTATCTCAATCTTATTTTAAGCTCAATCTTAATATTAATCTTAATCTTAATCGTAATCTTATTCTTAATATTAAAGTTAATTTTAATCCTACTCTTAATGTTAATCTTAATCGTAACCTTAATCTGTATCTTAATTTTAATCTTAATCATAATCTTAATCTTAATACTAATCTTAATACTAATCTTAATCTTAACCTTTTTAATCTTAATCTTAACCTTAATCTTACTCCCACTCTTAATCGCAATCTTAACTTTAAACTTATTCTAAGTCTCAATTCGAATCTTAATCGTTATCTTAATCTTAATTTTAATCTTAGGCTCATTCTCAATCGTAATCTTAACCTTAATCTTTGATCTAACTTTACTCTTAGTGGTGCCAAGCCAATCTGTCTCACATAGGTAAATACTATCCTACTAATTCATATTTTCTCGGCAGGTAAATACTATCCTACTAATTCATATTTTCTCGGCAGGGTGTCTTTTTTTTATTTTGCCTGCTTTCAGTTGCAAAGTTATTATAAACCTACGCGTACCATCATCAGCCAGCCATTTATTTCACCGGCTGTCGGTAGCCGTTTGTCGGCCTCTCCTTGCTTTGATTGTTCGCATATTTGGGGGCTCGTTGTCTGTAGAGCATTTTTGGCTTTGTAGTTCATTTGAGATACATATTTCATTTCTTTTGTTTGGTTACTCGCAGCGTATATTTTTAGCTGATCAAGATATCAGCCAAAAGATGGCAAGCAACATGTGTAACAAAGTATACACAAAGGCAAATAAGACTATAAAACACCCTTCAAAAATGTGTGCAAAAATGGTATTTAAATCACAAAGGTTCGTGTCTGGAGATTTAGTTTCTTGGCCATACAAATATATGTATGTACATACATGCATTTGGCTTTATATTTTATATTTTCTTTTCTTTCTACTTTTATAAAGGAATTCGATTTTTTTATTCTTATTCTTTTTTTATTACGCTTCCAAGTAGACATGCTGGCAGACAAATTTCGCGGCAGACTGGCAGACGCTGCTGCTACTTAATGTCGGCGTCCGTGAAACGCTTGGCACACTGACGTTTCACTCACCTTCCGCGTTCTGCAGCAACGTAGAATGACGGAGGATATACCTTCTTCCACAAGCAAAAATTACAATACATACGTGTACATTAGGATGGTCAAAAATAAGTAAATTAAAGAATTTTAATGCTCTCTTCCCCTAGGATTGTTCTATATCGAAACAAAATATACCCCAAGTTTTTATTTAGAAATCAAAAAATATTTAGAGGTCGCTCAAAGTTCTGAAAGTTTACCATGTATAGTATATGGAAAAAAGAACTTTTCGTAGAAATGGTATAGAATTCTTGTACGTCGATATTTTTTGATTGAAAAACTCTGGTTCGGTTCTCTTCAGGAGACTTCCAATATCAATACCCAAATGTGTTTTAACCAGTTTTCAATACTAAGGATTTTTTATTTATCTGGGGGACCTATAAAAGAAAGTTACTATGAAAAAATGGTTAAATAAATAATTGGGTATTATTATAGGGAATCTCCTGACGTTCAAGAATTATATACCATTTCTAAGAAGAATAGTTCTAATAGTTTTTTTTCCGATTTTATTTTTTCACATGCATTTTTGGCCAAGTGTAATGTACATACATACATATGTTCATAGGAAGCTAAAGAGAAGGAAAGTAAGTTTGTCTCCTCGCTGCTTGCTGTTGTAAAAATGTTGCCTACTGTTGCTGCTGCTGACTGTGATGAGCCTGTTACTGATGATTTTATATCCCTCGATGATTTTTTATTTGCAGAGATTGTAAAAGCTTTAAATACAATTTATTTATAAGCAACAGCACACAAGTTATACGATTTGCAAGCTTTCATTAATACAATATTTACTTTTCAGGTAAGATTCTGTTTTGGTATAGAAATAGAAATTAGGAAAAGGTTCTTATAATGATAAAAAAAAAAGATTTATTCATCCTCTAATATCTGCATCTTGTTCTTTGCTTGCATCGCCCAAACAAGTTCCGAAACATTTGAAATATTAGATACGCCACTTTCTTAAGAGCTTCAGATTTTAATTTGGCTTTTTTTATGGAAACTATAAGAGTGAAATCCCACCTCCATAGGCCTAAACTGTGCACACGAATGTCTTCCTAGAAAAACTAATGGCGCCATTATAGACATCATTTCGAACAGCCTGACTGCATAAAAATCATAGGCCGCTTGAAAAACGACATGCAAGCCAGTATATAAGTAGTTGCAAAAGTGCACTGGACAAACTACGAAGCCCTAACAAGGTTACCTTGTGGTGGTCTTAAGCTAATGAGGATATCGAAAAGGATGATATTTTCGCCAAACTTGTCACCTAATGAGGCTTATAAGATTCCCAGATTTTCTATGGTCCATTCAAGTTGAAAGATTTCTCAGTTTGCAATCCACTAGTGTATGTAAGGCTATGCAGGAGATTTATTGCTCTCTCTCTCTCTCGGGTAGCCCTTAAGCTACTGATTAAACTTAGCTGGGAGAGTCTTAGAGTCTTCGCTGGTTATCTGACAACACGCTGCGGATTAAGGTATAATTTTCGTGAAAAAATGTATCACATTCGGATAAATTTCAGATCTACTGATACGATAAAATTGCGAAAAAGTTCAGTAAATCTTCACTAATTACGAATAAAGAAAAAGGCCACTTCAATTATAATTTTCACTGAAATATTTTACATTATCAACATCTCAACGATTTTCTGGTAAAGAGAGTCAACGCCTTCAATCTGTAAGACTCTACTAGTACGGCTCTACCTTTCCAGTTTTGCCTGAACCAAGGACAACCTTCACCTTCAACACACCTTGCACAACATTCGGTTTGATAACGGTGTGGGGCTACAATGATGTAAGAATACTTACAAAACAGAAGAATCTAAAGCCAAGTTTCATTTCCTTCATTTCACTTCATTTATGGTGATTTCGTTTCTTTTATTTCATTTTATTCGCTTCACTTCGTTTCATTTCAATTTTCCATTTAGTTTTATTTAATTAAATTTTATTTTGCTTCATTTCGTTGAACATAATTTCATTTTATTTGTCTTCGATTTACATATTTTCTTTCTTTACTTTTCTTTACTTTTATTTTGTTTTCTTTTCTTTTCTTTTCTTTTCTTTTCTTTTCTTTTCTTTTCTT